AGCCAGATGGGGTCCCTGTGCTCTGTTGCCTCTTGGTGACATCATCAGACCGGTGTACTCTTTGCTGGACGGTAGTATTAGCTCTGCTTCACAGGCCAGGGACTAGGGCTGAGCCCAGTGCATGAGCAGCAGGAGGGTCGGGCAGCAGGAGCCCTGTAGAAGTCCTGCTGCCCGTGGTGAGGAGCTGGAGCCAACAGTCATCAGGTCCACACAGCCCTTCCCTCTGCATTCATGGCACCTAGGACGGGCCCAGCCCTGCAGGATCTGTGTTGAAGGAAAGGTCTCTTCTCTGTGGATCTTGGGCTGATGGTGGCTTTTCATTGACCCCTGCTCTTCTCCCAAAAGAGATAATTAAATTATATAGAGAAGCTATCCCCACAGAAAGAAAGGGCAGAGTGCTTTGTTTTAATGGGCTTGAGGAGACTCTGCCCATAACAAATGTTCTTAGTTATCCTCCACCCACGTGAAAAGCAGCTGGCAGGAGAGGAAGAGTGATGAGCTCCAGCCCATCGCAGGACGCCTCATTGTGTTGGAATGGACACATCCCTGCAGAACAGAGAAGGAGGGAAAGAAAGTGGGAAGACGGCCATCAACAACTGCTTTACTGAAAATGGTGATGGCCCCTTGCCCTCTTGTGGTCTCAACTCAGGGACTGTCCAAGAAGGAAATGCCACCCTGTCCTGCTTATTTGCAATCTGTTACTGCCTCGGGGGGCAGGTACACATCCTCTTCCTTTTACTTATTTATCTTCCATGGGAGTCATGACCATTCTATTCTTTAATGAAGGCAGAAATGTTAAAAAGAGAAAGAACATGAAAATGCAAAAAAAAAAAAACAAAAAAAAAAAACGTGAAGGCTGAGAAGGCCGGTGGGATGCTTCCCTTCCCTGGGCTCCTGGTGTCATAGGCTGGAGTGCAGACACCCAAGGCTGGCATCTTCACGTGCTTCTTATCCCAGCCAAAGTGTTCATATTAGGTACAGGAGGAGGAGAGAAAACAGTGCACTCCTCGTGTCCGAACTTTCGCTGATAATTTCTTTCACAGATATTTCTATGCCACTGGATGGCACCTTGCTATGGTCCTTAAAAGTCCTCTGCAGACGAGCATATGTCAGTACACAAGGTGTCCACTGAAGGGAGCGATTAAACCTCTGCTAATTACATTTTCCATACAGTTGTCATCGCTGACTACCCCATTTTCCAAATGAAAGCAATCTGTCTCACTCCGTTCTCCTCATGTTCCAGGCAATTGGAAACAGGAGCAATTTTAGCTTTCCCAGAAACAGCTACTTTTCAGCCCCTAGACTGCAGTCACCATTGCTCACAGTGACAATGGCAAAGGGGAGGAAAGGACGTCTTTTCCTCTCCTATTGCTAGGTTCATGGTTGAGGGCTCTACAAGAAAAGATTAATAAACAAGAGAAAAGTGTAGAAATGTACTTGACTTTAGGTTTTCCTGACACAGAGCCCTCCAAGGAATTGAAGACCCAACAAAACAATGAAATCTGTATGTTTTTGTGCTGTCTGGTGGCAATTGCACAGGTAGTCATGAGGATATGTGGTGGACAGAAGGCACACGGTCACTGGGGACAAACCAGGAGACACTGGGGATAGCTGTTCACGGTCTTCTCTACGCCCCATGTCTTCAGAGGTAAGGGCATCCTTTCTCCCCAGAACAGGAAAGATGCCTCTTAAATGAGGCACTTATGAGCTCCTTCAAGGAACAAGGGGAGGAGAAGTTGGAACATGCTCTCTTAGCTTTTTTGACTTGCTTCAGGAGAAGGGTAAGGCAGAGGAGAGTGACCTTCCCGCTCCTGCCTTTTCCGAAACCCCACAGGGCTGTGTGGCGGGGTAAATGCCTCGTTAGTTCACTGTGTGCCAGCTCATGTCTGTCAGACTGTCTTCCTTCGTCTTCTTGTCCTTCTCAGGAGGTGGAACCACACCTACTCCAGGAGAGCTGCCCAGCACACCCATCAAGGAGGTCTTCCTGCTGCATAAACTAGAACAGAGCTGCACCAGGGAAGGCCTCCTCTGCTCTGCAGTGCGACGGTTCTGAAGAAATGTGCTCAGCTTCTCTACACCCAGGAGAAGTGTCACACATGCTGATAAAGAGACTTCGTAGAAGTCTCCATCCATGCCATTCAGAGAGAGCAGAAAGCTGCAATTGATCTGAACACGAATGTGCTACATGCTGTATCACCATTGCTGCAAACCCACAGCAATCACCCAAAGACAGAGGGCTGAGGGAGAAGATGCTTTAACCTCACTCCAGGTTCTCCCGAATTCAGCAGCAGTACCAAGCTCAAAGTCACTGGCGATGTAGACCCACGTGCTCCACTGAGAGTAACAGACAGCAAATATAGGAGCAGCCAGTTATTCTTTGCCAAGCATTTTATTGGGGTCCCCTGATGGGACTTTCCTGCCCGAATTTAGGGTCTCATTTGCCACTTTCTTGCTGTGCAACCAAAATAACTAATCTTCACTTTTCTCACATGCAAGACAGAAACAAATCCGCTCGATTGGTTCTCAGTGTTGAAGATGAAAGTGAATGTGCTTATAACCGCCAATGGGGCATCCAAGTGTAAGCAACTGTATCTGCCCACCTGTTTGCATTCTGAAGTGTGCTATTCTATACTGAGTGCTGGTGAACAAATTGTCATAGTAAATACATGTTTTTCAAGCTTCCTCTAGCAACTTTTTTAGGCAGGAACTATGTATTGAATGATAGGATGGGGACCCGGAGAAGTAGAAATAAAAACATCACCTACCACTGGACTGGAGAGCACTTTATTTTATGTTATGGCTTCATTATGAATTTGTACTCCATCAATAGTACAGTGTAATATTTATTGAGCATTTACTGTGTGTTAGGCACTTCCCTCATGCATGGGAAATATCAGTCATTTTTAGAAATGTGTGTACATGTGTGTAAAATGCAGTACAAAGTAACAAAGGCAAGTAAAGAAGGCAATGTCCTGTGCTGTTTTGTACAAAGCAATGATGGTGATCCTCTCTGGTTATGTGGGTGTTTCAGCAGATTCCTGAAGACAGTGAGAGTCACGAGGCCAGCAGGCAGGAGAGTGTTGGAAGCAGAGGGAGAAATGAATATGAATGTGTGGGTCCAGGTGTGTTTAGAGAGTTCAGGGAATGGCCAGGATGCCTGAGACAGGAGCCCACCCAACAAGGAGGAGACTCGAAGCTAGGGAGCTCAGAGAAGTGGCTGGGGCGAGTTGAGGTAGGGCAAAATAGAGGGAGAGGGACAAGGATGCGGGCTCTGGCAAGGACGGGACTTTACTCTGAAGAGCTGAGAAGATAGTGCCATGAATTTGCCTGAAAACTGAAAGTTGGAAGGGACGGAGGAGGACAGCTGTGGTGAACAGGTCTGGAAGGCAGAAGGAGGGTTTCCTGTGAGACATGCTGAGGGTGGATATCTATCTACTTCCATTGAGTGTGGAAATCCTTCTACATCCTTGTGGCAAGGAGGTACTGGGATGGATGTCTGGATCAAAGGATCAAAGGTTGGACATAGAAACATGAGGTCTGGATCAAAGGATCAAAGGTTGGACATAGAAACATGAGGTCTTCAGCATCAGAGTGACTTCACAGCCATGGATCACCTAGGGAGTGACTACAAAGAAAGAAAGTTGCCCAGGCATTTTTCTTTTTCCATTTCTAAAATTCCATTTTGATCAAAGTCCTTCAAGGAGCCATTTCCATGTCTTAGGGACCACTGCAGCCTGCATAAGACTTTTCACACATCGGCGCAACTCCAGTTCCCAACCTTGTGTTTCGTTTATCCTACCTTGTTAGAAATGTTCCGAACAGCTGTTACAGACAGTTTCCTGAGTACTGCCTTCCAGTTTTCTGCCTCCGCACCTTACTGGTCTTGGTTTTTACATCATGAATGATCACTCATATTTCTGCCTGTTGAATATCATCATCCTTCTAAGGTTCAGTTCAACTCTTCAGTGAATAACAGACTGGAACCATCATACATGCAAACCTGACCTCCCACCCTTTCTGGGCACCCACTGAGTTCTGTTGCACCAGGGGCAGGTCCTGCAGAGTCGATCACCTGCAACTCCCTCCAGCCCTGCCCCACACTGCCTTTTGTATCTGAGAATCCGGAAACTGAAAGACCCACGAGTCCCAGACTCCCTCTTCCCTGAGGTTTCTACCTGTGGTCTAGGTTCCCTGGGTGAACATCAATGCCCACAGTAAGTAACACTCAGGGGACTCAGGTGTCTCTGCGTATCTATGTCCTGAAGCACTGTGTGGAGTCCCAGGTCTAAGGCGCTGAGTAGAACACAGCAGAGGCCTCAGGACTGAGCCCTTTGCTGTTCAGTTTTGTGCTATGCTTGAGATTAACTCCTGGGTGTGCAGTGTCCAACTTTGCTTCCCTGGAATTTCTAGAAATTCTGTGAGCAAACTAATACTCTTCCATAAACCATTTTCTGTCCCATGTCAGAACAGTGGATTCTGTTTTCTCTAATTAAACATTCAGTCAGTAGCTTACTTTTCTTATGATGGCACAGCATCTTGCTTTTTTGTATCTGTATTATTCATTATTTTTTATACTGGATAGGTTAGCTCCTAGAGGAGGAAGACAGGGAGTAGCCATGTCACACCTTCTGCTTATGTGCAGACCAGCACCTAACAGGGTCCCAGGGTGCCCCAGTGAACTCACAGGGGAACATCCACGTATTTCAACACAAGATCTGTTGAACACGGAGCAAACTACTATAAGCCAGTTGCTTGGACCTCTTAACCTAATAAAAACTTATCGAGCATGAAGCGTGTCATGAACCATGAAGTTTTCACACAGCCATGTGCATTCTAGGCCCTAGGTAGAAATAAATGTGCATTTCACCTGTGTTCAGATGAGAGTTGGAATTATAGTCCTTTGTAGTTCAGAAATGAAGAAAAATCTTGCCCATGTGGGAAGCAGTTAAGGCATGGAAGAGTGAAAAATGGGACTTCATTTGGGTTTTAACTAGGTTGCATCTCAAATATGTTATTTAATGTTGGTTGAAAACCAAGGGAAATGCTCCCACGCCCGCAGCGGCCAGAGGATCAATGAACTGTCTTCGCATCACTGGTGCTCTTTGGAGTCCCTCTGGAGTCCTCTCGCCACGTCCCTCTTTATCTTCAGTGCCACTGCATTGTACTTTCTATTGGCTAAAATGAAACAAAGGAGATGAGGTCAAATATAGGCAGCTGAGGCCACGATGGAGATGAAAGACTGTGCTCTGACTGTTGGCATGCCGTCTGTGTCTTCTGCCAAATGATATTTATACAGCTGAGAAAAGCATGTTAGCTTGGTGTTCCTTGCACACGGAAGTTACAGTCACTTTCTCAAGACAAGGGTCCTAAATAGAATGCATATGCTTTCCAGTCTCTAAATGCGCCTCCCATTCTCAGATCCCAAAGCCTCTAAATACCATGACTTTGGCTAAGCAGATAGACTTCTTTCGGGCCAGAATTATGAGCAAAATCCGAACCTGTGGGTGGTTCTACCTCACAACAAGGCATCGGGGTTATGTAGCGTGTGAACTCAATCCATTTTGGTTACTGATGTTGAGTTTTCACGCGAAAGAACCAGAATCAGAATAAGGAGACATTTTATCAGACAGGTTTCACCTCAGCCAACTTTTCATGAGAGCTCAGGAACTGTGGTTCAAACCTGGGCCCTCGTCCACCAAAAGCATCCATGAAGCAGCTGAAACTCAGCCCACTAAGTCAACTCAGATTTGCTAATGGAAATGTGGGTCAGTATTCTCTGGGAAGCAGCAGCTATGCCAGTGGGCCAAAGAGTGTATAGAATGAGGAGGGAAGGCTTTGCCAAGCAATGTTACAAAAAGGAGTAAAGTCACAAGGAAGTTCAGCAAGACGAGAAAGTGGTAGCTCTTAAGCAATCTCAACTCCTTCTCTCCACAGCTTTAAATTCTCTCTTGAGCTTGAACCTGGATGCTGGGGGGTGCAGAGGAGACAATACTGAGGCACCCTGGAAGCACATATTTGTGTTGGTTGAAAATAAGTGCAGTCTCACAGTGGCTCTCTCTTGTCCCCAGCTTTACAGAGCAGCGTCAAGTGGCCAAGGGCTGAGACACTGCGTGAGGCAGAGCCAATGCTGCTCCCTTTCCCTTGAGAACTAAGCCGGGACGCTCTGTGAGAGATGAGAAGTTGCACTTCTGAGTCTGCCTCTCTAGGGGAAGTGGGTGCGGGGACTCCCGGTGATCTGTGTATCCGTTCTCTGTCAGCCAAGGATGTGAGGAAGGCAGAATCACAAAGAACAGAAGAACCAAAGCGTGCAAACTTTTCTTTTGGCTCCTTCCCGCCCCCCAGGTGGATGTGACACTTGGGTTGGTGAGGTGTGCTGCTTTACCAGTGAGGGAGTTTCTCTTCCCCTTGAAACTCTTCAGCAGCCTGACCTAAAGGCTTAAGTAAGATACTGGACCAAGACCCTCGACAGGTTAGCGATGGGAATACCTTCAGTGACTTTGCAATACCTCAATTCCGTCAGAGATCCCCTTCCCTCCCAGAGGATCACCCATGTGTTAACAGTTGTTTGAGGGTGGGGAGAACCCTACACAGGGTGTCCCTGGTCACGGGTGACTTATTTTACAGCATTATCCATCGGGTATGACCATAACCAGGTCTGTTCCACTTTAGTGATGGGACGGAGAACAGTGGCCATTTCCCAACTCCACCAACTGATGTTGACGCTAAAAACTCCTTTGTTGGCCCTTGTGCTGCTGTACCAGCCTCTTCTCTCTCCTCTTCCATTTTATGGGTGTTCCAGCCCCAGTGCACACAGACACGTCCTGGGTTCTGTGTATTCTTCTTTACAAGCACGTCAACTTTGATATGAGGCCCACAAGTAATTTCTCCATTGACAACTGACGCTAAGAGGTCAAGACCCAAACAACAGCCCAAATTTCCAAACTAAATCAAAGATGTTAACAGAATGAACACTTCACTTAAGGCTCTAAGAATTGATTATCTGACTGATTCAATACAGCAATTTATCGACAATGGTCCCATCAGTGTCCATGTTCAGGGTTTGCATCCAAGTGGAAAGATCAGGAGATGAAGCCCAGCAGTGAGGAGGGCCCGCAGCTGTGTCTACACCACTCTTGATGGGAGCTGTGTGGCTTTGCAGGGTGTTGCCACACCCCTTAGCTGCTCTCTGTGCAACTGTGTGCATCCAGTACTGGGAAGAACACCAATTCATCTCCTTTCTTCCTCATACCTTCCACTGAGCTAAACATTCCTACTACAGCACAAGAAATAAGCACAGATCTTCTAGACAAAATCCTTAAAGACAGGAAGAGAGTCGCCCCAACAGCAAGACGAAGCTTAACAAGAATAAAAACAAATGTTTTGATTTGGATTCAAAATAGCAATTGCAAAACTTTCAAAATAGGCTTCCACAATCACACAACACACACACACATACACTCACACGCAGATCACATATCTCTACATGCACACACACACATATTTATAACTCAGTTGATGCTATCCTATTTTAGCCATAGAATTTAGACCTGGGTATGTAAGTACCTGAGCAGAAGCCTTCAATATCTATGGACTCGGTTGACCTGGGTCCCCAGAAACAGTGAACTCTCTACTTCCCAGTAAAGCTCTTCTACATTTATGCACATTTATTCTACATGAATAAAAGTGTGCTTCTTATTCTGAATTTCCACTCGAACTCCCAACCTTTTCCATTGGATCCACTTACACCGTTTATTCCTTTTCCTCACACACCCCACTCCATACCTGAGGAAGATTTTCATAGTTAACAAATTCAACCCTCTCCCAGAAAATGATCTGGACATTATCTTAGCAAACACTGAGATCTATTGTTCTTCCCAGTAGGACAGAAGGTCTATGAGTGAGTGGGAGGCCTTTGTGTGAAGGGAAAAGCGAATGCTTGCTAAGACAAGGAGGTAAAATCCTGGGAAAAGTTAACAGACTTATTTGCCTCTAAATTTAAAACCTTTGAAGCATCTTTTCAAAAGCAAGTGAAAATATTAGCGCTAGCCAAATTTCTTTAGTGTCTATCATCTTTTCAACATATACACATGTGTTCATGTGCTTACATTTTCTCATGGAATCGCAAGGGAAGACATGTCCCATCCGGAAGGTGAAAGACTTTTCCAAGGAGATAAGGTCTGTACAAGGAAAGAAATCAACACTCACAAGGTCTTTTTGTGCTCAGTATAATATCTGGCCTCCCGAATGTTATGCTAATATTGTAGGTCTCCTTGAACAAATATTGTTAATACTTTGTAAATGAGTCATATCACTATACTTTCTTGAAACCGATACAAATGTTTTCATTTAGAAATGAATGTAATCTGAAGTGTTCACCACTTCAGACTATTCTGTTTAATTATTTAGAATTTGTATGACCCTACCATAAAATTCACACATGTTAGCCAAAATGCAGAAAAGAAAATAAATGAATTCCATAAAAGCAGTCCAAAAATTAGTGTTATCTTGCTTTTCTTTAAATTGTGTTCCATGGATTCTAATTGCCAAAGAATTCAGTTGGCCAAATACACACAGTTCAGCTCAAGATCTTTTTAACAAAAAGTGAAGTAGACAGGGCTTCTTCTCCCTTGAGTTTAAAATAAAAAATTCAGTGTGGTCGCATAATAGTGCAAAGAACATAACCACCCGCCTCTCTGTTCAAGAAAGGTGCAGGGAATAATAAATATACTGGTCAGCAAGCAAAGCATCATGAATTCTAACTTCTGTGAGGTTCTCAATATGGGGGCACTTTACCAAAACATTTTTAAAGAAGAAGTTATGACTCAGATCAGGGAGGAGGAGCTAGGCAAAGGAAATGGGTCAGGGCCCTTCTCCGTGGACGGATGACTGGGTGGAGCTGGGGATGGTTCAGATGAAAGGGCGGGAGTCTGGACAGGAGGAGAAGAACCTCTTCCGGGAAAATGTTGCAGAGATAAGTTTGGGTGAAATGAGGGGACGACAGAGGAAGAAGAGAGACTCATAATAGAATTCAGGGATCAGATAAAGAGCCCGTTCTGGGCCCAGCAGCCTGGCCAGCCCTGGGAAGACCCAGCCAAATGCTACATCAGACTCCAAAGGGTGAGGACCTCAGGCTGCAGAGGCAGAGGTGCTGGTCCCATGGTCACCTGGGTCTTGGGGCTCAGGAGGAAAGTGAGCCAAGGTGGAGGAAGTGACCAGTCAGGTCTGGAGCAAGTTCCTCCAAAGTGGGTCAGTGTTCCAGAGAGAGAGGATGGAATCCCAGTCTGGGCCAAAAGCTCTTCCTTGTTTATTTCACAGTTTCAGGCAGGAACTGCAAACCTAGACCAGGGCAAAAACAAAGATGTGGAAGGCCCTTATGCTCAGGGAGGAAAGGAGGATGCTTGTAAAGGGGCTGAGGTTTAGTGGTGAAGACTGGCAAAAAACATTCTCAGTGCTGTACTTTTGTATCCAGTGATCTTAGCTAATACTTTCTGACGAGTGAAAACTATTCAAATTTTATCTCCAAAATATCACTATTAACCAGGTCTCTTTCTTTTTTTTTTCCTCATTGAGTTTATTGGTACATTTTAGGTATACAGCAGTTACCTTCATCGTTGGGATCTTGTACCTTTACATGATGTATCTTGGTTCTCACTTTTTCCCCTTACCCCTGCCCTCCCTTCACCCCCTCCTCCCTTCCCTATTTACAAAAACTTTATTTCCATTTTTTCATTTTCTCTTATTTTTTTCTTTCCTTGGTCTGTTTTTGTTTTTCATCGCTCATGGATTCAGTCTGTACCATGTTTGCCCTTGTTTCCTTATTATTTGGGAGAGACTTTTTCTGTCACTTGTAGCAGTTAAGAGCTAAGGACCTGGAGCCAAACAAGCCAGATTTTGAACTTCAGCTCTGTTGCTCGTGACCTGAGGTATTTAATGTCTCTAAACCTCAGCTTCCTTGTTCATTAAAGGGAATAAGGATAGTAGCTACTTATATGCTATGTTATTGTTTGATTAAACTATGCATGTAAAGTCTTTAACATAAGTGCTAGCAAATAGTTTTCAAAGATCATTAAAGATGCCAAGTTTTTAAAAAAATGTGTTCTTTCTCTCCAGATAGATTTCAATTTTTTTAAAAGTAATAAACTCCCTGGGAAAATACTAAACTTTGTTTTCCATAAGTAAAAGTTTGAAATATTTTTTAAAGATTGTGACTGTGACCATTTTATGCATCGCAACAATGCCCAAGCAGAAAGTGAATAATTCTTTCATTTATATAGCTACCAACACTCCTCTGCTTTCTTGAATAGATTGTTAATTTATGAAAGAAACTACTATGGGTTATTAAGTTGGCAGGAAATGGACCTCGGGCGAATCTTATAGAGGTGTGGTGATGTTTGATGTCAGTTATTCGTCCTGATGGTGATTTTCCCTTCTTACATTTCACTGTCACTGTTTATTTTAGACAGCTTTTCATCTGTGTGCATAATGTGTTAATAAATCCAAGGATTTTCATCTCAATAAATCCAGTTTTTAATGACAGCATGCTATGCTGACCTTTGGATCTCACTCTTGGGCAAACAACGAGTTCCTCTCTGTGGCCTGCTTGGGACTTGTGAAATCTCTGTGAACTTCCCCACAGTGGTTTGGTTCAGGGTTCCCCTTCTTCTGAACACATTCAATGAAAAACAATACCCTGCCATCCATGAGGGAGTTCATAAAATCCAGCCTGAGAAAGACAGCCGCAACCTGTGCACATCACATCCTGGGTGTTCTGTTTTATGGACTTTCCCAGAATATCGGCTCCTGTCCAGAAAGTGTGAAAAGGAAGAAGTCAGTCAGTCTCTGAGAGCAGAGAATGCAGATTGTTGCCCACATCTCTGAAAAAATTTGCTAAGTTTCTGCCATTGTCAACCAGGGTCATATGGCTGATAAAAATTACAGGGCTTGAAGGGGGACATACTCTGCCCTTTGGAACTACTACTAAATAAGGTAATCAAGGTACTTTCTTCATTTTTTGCATAAATTCAAATACAATGGCACCTAAAAGAAGTCCTTTAAAAATGTATTTTTTCCCATTCTGGGTGGTGAGTCACCAAATGCTGTTTAAAAGCAATTCAGGGGCAGAGCCAGGCCTTGGACCCATGGAGGCTTGATTTCCAAGTTCCTGAGGTGGAAGTAGAATAGACAGGCAAAACAAGTATCACCATTGATCCTAAGACACAGATGAGAATTAGGACAGAATGATATTAGTTTACCATCGTGTCTGGCTTTCCACTCTCCATGCATTATTCGCTAAATGTTTGAAAGTAAGTCAGAATGTTATCAGATTGGCTTCTGGAACCTAGTCAAGGTATTTGACCCAAATAGACTCTCAGTAAATATTTGTTTAATTTAATTCATGTTTATTTTTAAATGCTCTGAAATATACAGTGTATTTGCTAAAAAAATGTATGCTTTCGCTTTGTAGGCTATGATTCATTTTCACTTTTTTAATTGTAATAAAAGAATTTAGTGTTCTCCACATGAATAGTTATCCTAGTTTTTCTTGGTTTAGGCTCAGAATTGTGTCATATTTTTATTCAGCATCATTAACTACATTTTTGGAGCTTTAGAACTAAAAAATGTTCTTTTTAATCCTCAACTGATGCTCAAAGAATTTTAATTATCTGCTCAAAGCCCAACAGCCACTGAGAAGATCTGGATTAGGCTTCCTTTCTATCACATGGAAATCCAGTGTTTGTACCATGCCATACAGCCCAACTTCAAATAGCAACAAACAAACAAACTAAGTTTGTTTATACTCTGAACTCTCAAACTCCCCAGACTCAATGAACCTCCAACTCCCTGTCCTTTTTTGAAGTACTTCATACCTTTTCTCTACACTTTATGTTCTAAGGAAATCTGATAAAATCCAAGCACTGAGCACTTTTCACCATCCAGCTAAAGTCATGACTTCTTACATAACTGCAGTATGAACTCACAGATATCCCCAAGAGGAATACATCTATATCTACATCTATATCTATATCTACATCTATATCTATATCTACATCTATCTATAGATATCTATATATCAGAGTTTTGGGAGCCTTTAATCCATATAAACTCCACCCTCTGGCATGGATGCAAGCTGGAAGCCAGACACGAATGACTTCCTTGTGATAAAAGGCAGCCTTGTGATGGGGTGGAGGCTGCCCTGGGAGAACAAAAGAGGCCTGGGTTGAGTCTGTGGAAAGCTCTCTGAAGCCCATGACCTTGATCTGAAGGATCTTTAAAGGTCTGCCGAGGTCAGCCTGGGTGGGAGGAAGCACCACCATGGCAGCCATGGGTTTGCCTTTCATCCCACAACCTGCTGGATGCCCAGGGGCAGGTTACATGATGCCCTGGCCTATTCCTAAACTGATGATGTCAACAGTAACTGCTCAGAAGAGTTTTGTGAAGTTTAAACGAATGCCTAGATAAAACAGTCTTTGAAAATATCATGCACGTAGTAAATATTCTGTAAATTTCAGTTATGACATTGTTCACGGTGACAGAATCTTATGTTCAAAGGATCAAAAGGAAAGAAGAGCACAGTATTTGTGTACACATCAGGGTACTATTCGGCCATAAGCAAAAATGAAAAGTGTCACTTGCGAGAAAATATGTGGAATTGGAGACCATCATGGTAAGTGAAATAAGTCAGACATAGAAAGTTAAATATTACATGGTCTCTCTCACATGAGAAACCTAAACCATAAATGAGTAAACAAGAGTAGAACAAAGTAGAGATGTTAGGAAACAGAAAGGCAGACTTCTGGGTAAAGGGAAGAGGTCCCAGGAGGATGGGGGGGTGAAAGGATGGAAACTGGTCCAGGTGTGCTGCATCGTGTGTCAGTCCCTGCAAAGGGGCAGAGCTGCGATGAACTGTGAGCACACACACACACACACACACACACACACACACACACACACACACAAAGGGCACCGCATACTCCCGAATGTTCCAGGAAAAGCAAATGGTTTAGAGTGGTGGGAGCGAGAAAATGAACTTACTTGAATTGAATCACACTCACTGCTCCTAGCTGTAGGAGAAGCAAGAAGTTGTGTATCACCTCAGTTGCATAGCAAGACACCACCAAAGTCTGTATTCCCTTCTTTTCCGCTCAGAGGCACTCAAGATAACTCCTTCCAAGGACTGATGGTGGGTTTGCCTCCATCAGAAGACATGTGCAGACTTAGGGCAGCCACTAGAAAGAGAAGGGAAAAATCAAGTGCTAAGAGGAGGGTAGAGTGGAACCCAGGGAGTGGCTCTGGGGATGGGCAGGTGGGCCCATGAAGGCTTCTGGACCTGGGTGTGGACAGTTGAGTCTCCTGCAGTGGGGCGGTGGCCAAGCGAGCTCCAGGACTGGTCCACAAAATAGTTCTTGAGAGGCACCATTTAAATGATCTGCACTTAGGGCTCTATAAACTACCTCAAGGAAGTGTTTGGTGATGACCCACCCAGATGGGCATGGTACTTCCTCCCTTCCTGTTTCAGGCCTGGGCCATGACCTCCAAGGGTTCTCAGGTCTACTGTGGTTTTATGGCCCCAACTACTAATGAAGCAACTATTATATAGAATTAGAAAAATTAAATGCAGCAGGAGTATATGAATTTATCGACAAGTGCTGGCTTTGTTTCTAAGATAGAGGAGGAGAAAACAATTTATAACAAGGAAAATAGTATTCTTTCAGATGTCATGGCAAATTACAGGAAGAATTTTCCCTGGTTGGCTAACATCCTACCCCAAAGAATCTGAGCCACGGGGATTGTCCTTTGGCAAGACAGAAAGACCAGTCCAGATTACTTAGAAAGCATCCTCTGCATTGAAGCCTACAAGAATCTTAAATTGAGAAAAAGCTATCTCTGATTGAGACACCAAAATGAAATGTGAATTTGGGTTCTTGTGTCTTTCCTCAGTCTTGTGCCCAGATGGTCCCACTCCAAACTCTGGTTCCAGGCAGAGGGGGATGTAGACACTCCTCTGCCTTCCATTGTCCTCTTCCTCCCATATTTCTGGACTTCTCAATCCTGCTTAATCTCAAGCTTTAGACAGAGCACCCACCTCTACTCATCCCATGGGAGAGAGTTTTGTGTTTGCTGGCCTGCAGGTATCCTATGGAGCCATGGTCATTTCAAGAACGGGATGTCTTCACATTGTAGTCCAACACATTGCAAAAAATCCTGTTCTTAGTCACTTTGTGGTGCCATAAAATGACAGGCATTTGGTTCCCACAAGCGAATGCTCCAAACCAAGAACCTTAATATAGTGATGGATATAGAATTGTAATGGCCAAGTGGCAAGTCCTTGGTGCGTTTAGAGGATCACAAGAGGATCACAAGAGCTTCTGGTGCCTCTCTAATTGTTTTTAAATTTTTATTTTTAGTGGTATTAAGCAGTTCTCTAAGAGCTCCAGCCATAAATTACAGTGATTGTTTCTGAAGGCTTTTAAATGTGAGGAAATTGATAATTAGCTCCCTTTCTCCTCAGAGACAGGTACCCGAATGTTTTCTAACAAATGGAATTCTTCCAGACTTGCTGAGTGCATGATTTACCAGTAGACTGTAAACTTTAGCTCACTTCAAGATTTCCTGAAGGACTTTTAAAAGCTCAGATTGCTGCACCCTACTGCTCACATTTCCAGTTCAGTAGTGCCAGGGTGCTGCCTGAGAATTCTTGGATCACTCCAACACTGCTGGCCTTGAGAACCACTGTTTTTGAACTCAATGCACCAGGCCATCTGTCATTGTTGGGTCCTGTGCTATCGTTTGGATATAAAGTGTTAGCCAAAGGCCCATGGGTTAAAGGCTTGGCCTCTAGTTTGGTGCTGTTTGTAGGTGGTAGAACCTTTAAGAGGTGGAGCCTATTGAGAGGAAGTGAGGTCATAGAATTAGGTCCTAGAAGTGGGTATTGGGACTCTGCTCCTCCTCCTCTTAAAGGTTCCTCTGCCATGTGCTCTCACCATGATATGTTGCTTTGCCCTAGGCCCAGAAGCACTAGGACCACTGACATGGACTAGAACTTCTGAAACCAGGAGCCAAAATAAACTTTTCCTGTGTTTGTTTGTCTGTGTGTGTGGGGTGGTACTAGAGGTTGAACCCAAGGCCTTTCACTGAGCTTTACCCCAAGTCCTGTTTGTTTATTTTGAGACAGGGTCTTGCTATCTTGCCAAGTTGCCTGGCCTGAGCTTGAGCTTGCTATCCTACCTCAGCCACTCAGAGTACTGGGATTGTAGGCATGCACCCCCATGCCTGGCAAACTTTCTTCTGTGTAAGTTCATTATCTCAGGTATTTTGTTACAATAGTACCAAGATGAGGAACGTACCTCCAAGAAGTGCCTCGGTGTCTCTGCCATTTTTAGCCCAGAGACGTTAGTGCACCTACCCTGACCCCCACCCTCAGGTTGTGCTTCCCACATTGCCTGTAGATTAGATGCATCTTATGGTAAAACGATATTGAGAGCATCCATTCCTAGTCCTGACCATGGAATAAGACTTAGCATAGACACAGAGCTACGGCAATGAACAGCATGATGTGAACCCAACCAAATGTTCCAGATTACTCAGGAAAATTAAAATGTGATTATATTTAAGTTCCAACAAATGTAGTGATTTTTTCCCCTATTACTCCACACCTAAATGTGTTCCACTTTAACACGAGGAAGCAATAATTTCAGTACAACCAAGGATTTTCTTCAGGACAGAACTCCAATATCCCTTAGTTCCATTTCAGGCTATTTTTTTCTATCAGTAGACTCTGATTCACACCCCCCAGCTAATTTTTATTACATATAAGTATTTCCAGTTTGTCTTAGGATATTTTCTTATAATAATTTGTTAATTATCAATCTTGGGTTATTGATTTAAGTTACTTTCTTGTACTGGTCATTCTACACATCATTGATTTTTTAGCCTTTTATTTTAGAATAATTTTGGGCCAGGAATTTAGCTCAGTGGTTCTGATGCCTGACTCGCAAGGGCAAGGACACAAGTTCAATCCCCAGTACCCCCCAAAAATATATATTTTAGAATAATTTCAAACATGCAAAAAATTTGAAGAATACTATGCAGAATTCCCACATAACCTACACCTAGCTAGTTTGCTCATATTTTTGCCATAATGTGTGTGTGTGTGTGTGTGTGTGTGTAGATAGATAGATAGAGGGGCTCACTGTCTGTCATTTTTATACCAGAGAGAAGGTAAACATTATATAGCAGCTTTATTGTGGAATAATTTCCAATTTCCACCCTTCATAGTCTCAGAAGTTGGAAACACCTGATCTACTTTCATACTTTTTTAAATAGGTAAGGAAATAAGAAGAGAGAGGGTAAATTGCTTACAGTTACAGAGTAATGGAAGTCCTAGAACTAGACCATACCTCTTAACATTAATTCAGAAAAGTTTCTTTATCTTACTTCCTAGCTGAAATTTTTTGCATACGCTTAGTTTCCATTTTCCCACACATCAGTTCTTCCCCCGATAAGATTTTAAGCTCTTCAAAAAGAAAAAGAATGTATTTACCTTTTTGAGAAATATGAATAGCAATGATGTCAGACTCAGTACTAAAAGCTTTGCAGACATTGGTCACAAAACCCTAACAGCTCAATGCTGAAGATGAGGGAAACTGATCACTGGAAAATAATTCTTTGGGTGGCCTGTATGATCCAGACGCCCAGAAGCACTCTTCTCAGTTGAATTTTTTCTTGAAAAAGAGTTTCCTTAGGTCACGTGTCATCCAGTCTGGCCTTGAACTCAGGGATCTCTTCCTCAGCTTCCTAAGTGCCAGAATTACAGATGTACACCTCCACCTCTGTCTTCAAATGAAGTGCTCATGCTTTTACACCTTTGAGCATGCAAAGGTGATTCCTGAGATGATCTGAAGGCATCTAGTGGGAAGTTCCTGTATTCTTTTTAATGGTGTTAGTATCTTTAGCAACCATACTCTCTTCAACCTGCATTTTCAAAGGTTTCAGTCCAACAGTCACTTGGCTCTATTGTTTCTTAGCCTTTGCATTGCAGAGATCATGTGATGAAAGAATCTGCTCTCATTTAGGAAGGAGAGAGAGAGAGTACAAAGTATACCCTTTAAAGTATATGAAGCCCGACTTACCTAGGTAGAAAACTTAGCTTCCACCACCACCCAACTACACAGCACCATGAGCATCAGTGCATTAACCCATGACCAAGGTAGAGTTCTCATTGTCCGGTCAAGTCCAAGGCCCTGCCTCTGAACGATGCTGCCCTGGTGACCAGACTGTGGGAGACATCTCAGAGCCAACCCACAAAGGCCAGCGAAGCTACCACTAAAGGTGGCCCCTGAATGAATGATTTGTCCATTCTGTCTCTTAGACACAAGGTGGGCTGAGTCAGATGCTTTCCAATGGTTCCAGGCTTTCAGAAGACTCATTAGGTGAGGAAAACCATGGGCATTTGTTTTATAAGATCAGTAAAGTACTACAGAATAATATGCTAAAAGGAACTTATGGAAATCTCCATTTTTTATTTTTATAGGAGGGTTACAGATATACAAATCATAGAATTTTCACATTTTGCAAAATGTTCAGCATTCATCTGAGTTGTTTCGTGTTACTGATCTTGCCCCCTTGTTCCGAGCAGCCATTGTTCCCTACTCACTTGGAGCACTTCTACTTATCTGCAAAGCCCTAGGGGCAACACTGGGCATTTCTAATACATCCATCCTCCATCGCTTCTCTGGAAGGCACCAGGGAGGAGCGAGGGCCAGCGCTGGGCCCCAGGACCACACTGAAGAGGCAGAAGCCTGTGGAGACACTTGGTCCTCGCTGTTAGACAGCTCTGTCACTGCCGTGGTCACTGAACAGTCAGCATGGGGTGGCACCAAAGCTTTGTGAGAGGAGAGAAGGCCCTGCAAAGGAAGCCCTGGGCTGAGGAGTCCAGGTGAGGCAACATGGCACCCAGGGCAGTTAATCCTGAGGCATCTTGACTCGGGCCTCACCCTCTTCTGCCCTTGGGGTGTGGCAATGAATGCTCTGCCCTCAGTTGTGCTCTAGAAAGCTCGGTGCTTTGAGATGTTTCGGGAGAAATGTGCTGTGATTAACAGGAGAGAGGCCAGGCCCATGAGCCACTGCATCTCTTATAGATACAGCTTTTCTTTTCTTCTTTGCTTTTCCTTCTCTTCCAGTCTATTGTTTTCCTCTTCTTTTTTCTTTTTTCTTCCTTTCTCTTCCTCTGGTTTGGTTATTTCCTTTGTTTTGTTTTTAATACTTAGCATTGGATATGCCCACCCTGACTATGCGCTAAAATCACCCTGAGGTTCCGATGATTGTAACTTGGGTGACCAGAAATGAAGCCTGAGAACCCGTAGTCTTAACTCCTCCACTGGTCCCAGTGTGCGGGGTAATGGGATTCCCAAAGTTGAACACCCCTCATTGTCAGGATCCCACTACTTTCAATCAGTCAGAAATCTCAGTTACCTGTGCCTGCTCACTTCCTGTACCCCTGCTACATTTTCCCGGGGCTGATGTTAAGTTTCTTTGCTCGTCTAGAATTATATCAACATCTTCTGGTATCATTTTCTGATGAGAAACTAGCAATGAGAGTCACAAGTTTGGCAATCAGAGTTTCTCAACAAAAATGGAAATGGAAAATTAGTTATTAGTTTATAAATGCAGCTTTTGAAGTTGACAAAAAAAAAACAAACCTCAAAACCTGGTGAGGCTTGGGAGAAAAAAATTTAAGTCTACTTAGTAGTAAAAAGGCTGGAAGCTATCTGATAAGGTTATCTTTAAAGCTGGTATAAAATTAGCTCTGGCCTTTGAACACACAATAACAGATAAATGAAAAACATCCCAGAAAGTCCCCGGTGGCCTGCGGAAGCCAGTTAGGGGATTTGTATTTGTCTGAGATAACACACACTCAGATATGCAAAGGAGGAAGAGCGATCCTTGTCCCTGAGCTCATTGTACTCTCACTGCCGCCAGGATCCCAGGTCTACCCCATGTCTCTCCATTCCCCTGGGACCAGGCCTTCCAAACCTGTCAGGGAAGAGTCACAGAGGGAAACGCTGGAGATTACCGTCTGCCAAGCCAAGCTCTCCATATCATCCGGAAATGTTTAACACAAGCCAATCTCTAATTAACTTCAAAAAGTGCCTGCTCCCGGTCTCAGGTATGTAAACACGGCAGGACAAAAGTCACTCCTGTTTGGCAAAAAAAGTTTTCAAAACATCAATTAGAAAGGGTTGGTATGAACACCCACCTCGACAGGCAGAAAGAAATCAGGGCCAAGTGTGAGCACCCCCCACCCACCCCAAAGCATTTGTTCCTGATTATGTACTGGGGAGGTGAAATCAAGCACACTTTTGGGGCTATGTTTTATTTATTCCTATGCTCGATCATCAATGTATTGGTACTATCGATTACTCCAGCGCAAGAAATAGAAACGTGAGCAAAATCAACACAAAGTCTATCGCCATGAAGCTTGGGGGCAGCATGGAGAAGGGTGGAAAAGCAGATCGCAAAAGTAAGCATCAGTTACGAAAAGTGTGCGGCCAAGCAGCGACCATTCCGTCCCGTGTTAAAACACTTGTGGCACAGACCTCTAAAGAAATCATGTCACCTTTGAATGCAGAAAGTGCCGCTGTTCCTCCCACCCTTCGTGAGATTGTTTTTAATTCACAGGTTCTCACTCTCTGAATTGATGAAATCAAACTGGAACTAAAAGAGAAAAGCATAATTTTATGTTCTTATGCCTTCCACCCTAACCACTTACAATTCAGCATTAACTAGCCAGGAGCTGGGGTCATTCAAGTAGTCTACTTCTTTACAGATGATAAGCAACACAATGCATTGTGTGTGTAGGGACTTAGAGGTGAGAAGAGAAAGAAAAGCAGTCTTAGAAACCCTGAAAAGGATTTTGGAGACCAGTGAAGCAATTTTGAGCACACTGACATTTAAATCAGATACTTCCATGTAATAAATATTTGCTGAATATTTCCCTGGGCAGCTAGATTCCATAGATAGGGTAACATTGTTTCTCTTAAGATGTTAGCACTGTGTGATACAATGGTAGGGTATAAGATACATTTCGGCTCTGTTTTCAGCAGGTAATCCCTCGTGGCCGGTGTAAAATTATCTTGGGCAGAGCTTCTGGGAGAGCAACGAAGCAAATGCAAATTGTGTCGCCTTCTCAGCTTGGCGCTTCTCAAGGCCAGCTGTAAAGACCAGGCGGCTGCAGAGGGACGCAGTCACAGGGATTCCAGCGGCTGAAACACTACGCTTTTCGATAAGCAGCCGTGCCTGAAATACAGAGATGGCAGTGGGGACAAAGAATAGATGTGCAGAGGTGACACCCACACGTCCTCCGGAAGCTCCACACCGTGGTCGCGCTGTCCAGAGCATTTGTAAGACACGGGTTTTAGATTAGTACGTGTGTATAGGAGGTAATGTCTGCATTCCTTATGCACAGCTGGTACAGGTACATAATTCATTTCATTTCCTTTTTCCACTCCCTCGCTCGCCTCTCTGTCCCCCTCCCTCTGCCTCTTGACCCCCTTCCCATTGAGAAATATTCGCCTCACTACTTCCTGTTACCTTTCACCTTGCTCATTACCTATACCTTGGGTCCTCATGTAAGAGAAACCATGTGATATTGAAGCTTTTATGTTTGATTTACTTCATTTGACATCGTGGTCTCAAGGTGCAGCCATTTTCCTACAGATGACTCAAATGTATCCTTCTTTATGGCAGAGAAGTGTTCAATTGTATATAAATACTACGTCTTCTTTGTCCATGCTATAGGCTACTTCCAAGATTTAGCTATGAAGAATTATATAAACACGGATATGTATGCAAATGGAGCTCTGTGAAGGATTATTAACGGATTGAGAATGCTTTTTTTTTTCTTCTTGAGAAATGATCTTTCCATGTATTTCAGCCTGGCCTCAGACTCATGATGGTCCTATCTCCACTGCCCAAGTGCTGGTGTTACAGGTGCCACCACAGGGGGCCTACTCTGCTTTGTTTCTAAGCATCCTTCCACTTAAAATTTGTTTTGCTCAGCTCACTCTTTTTCCTCCTACGTGCTTCCAGTACGTAATGTCGATATTCCCTGTGGGGAGCTGACATGTGTACAAGGCACTTTCCTGAAAGAGCTGAAGGCATCATATTACAGTGATCTGTGCACAACTATGTTCGTAGCAGTACAACTCATAATAGCTAAACTTTGGGAGTGGCCTGTGTCCAGCAACAGATGAGTGGGCAAAGAAGGGTAGTATTTACACAGAATAGAAGAAAAATTCATTTTGAGGGGCTGGGGATGTGACTCAGTGTTAGAGTGTTTGCTCTCTAGCACCAGAAAAGAGAGAGAGAAGTATCCTAAGGCGAAGAAAAGTATTTATATTTTGGTGCTTTAGAAACTGATGTAGGTTTATTTTACTTACACTTACGGTCTTGCAGTGCATCTATTTACCTATGAATGACTCAAGCGTATCCTTCTTCATGGCCGCGTAGTACTCCACCGTCTGTAAATACCACATTCTTTATCCATTGTCTGTTGATGGACATGTAGACTGGTACCAGGATTTAGCTATTATGAATTGCGCTGCTGTACACAGAAGCACGCATGGATCACTGTAATATGATGATTTTAAGTCTTTCAGGAGAATAGCTAGAAAGAGAATAGCTGTGCCCAGTGAAAGTTCTAGTTTTAGCTTTTTGAGGCACCTCCATACCGACTGCCATATGGGTTGTACTAGTTTACAGTCCCGCCGGCAATGTGTGTGCCCTTCCCCCACCTCCTTGCCAGCATCTCTTTTTATTTGATCTCTTGACGATGGCCGCTCTTTGTGGAGTAAGGTGGTGTCTTGGTGTTGCTTTCATTTGCATTTCTCTAACGGACACCAATACTGAGTGTATCGTATCCTCTTCTATCATTTCTTATATGAGAAGCCCAAAATGTAGATGAAGAGCAAAATAAAAGTCAGACAATAGGAACTATGATATATTTTTCAAATGCGAAGAAGAACAAGTAATAGAAGGAAGGAGGGGGGAAGGAAGGCAAAAAGAATTTTTAAAAAGAGAGAATTAAAGAAAAAATGGAAATAGAGCTTTTATAAATAGTAAGGGGAACAAAAGTTGAAGGAGGCAGGGAAGGTTGAGAGGAGAAGGGAAAAAGAAAGAATTAAGCTATGTGTGTACAGGTACAAAGTCTCCACGACAAATGTAATCACTATGTACCACAAGCATGAACTAATAAAAATTTTAAAACCACATAATTTCAAGAAAAAAGAAACTGATCTGGGGTAAATAATAAAAACGTGGCTCAAATAATAGCAGAGATTTCAACATTTAGCAAAAAGCAGGAGAGTGACTTTTCTTTTAAATATCTACCTGCAGAAATGTTAGACAAGTACAGCAATAAACTTTACCTAGATATTTTTAAGTACTTAATCGCACTCCTCACTTAACAATTCAAGGAACAAACTTCACACCCTAGGTGTCCTACATAGCACAGGAGCCTTACCTGAGGGAAGCCAGCAGTGGTCACATTAAAGCATGAAAAGCAGGCTGGTACAGCACATCCTCACACCAGACATGCTTTTCCGCTCACCTAAAGTGCAGATTGCACCGCAAGTTCTTTACTTTTATTGCTAAATCTGGGAACCCTAAAAGAAAGCATCCAAATTAAAAAGGAAATTACTCAGCCTCTAAGTTTATGGCACAAGCAATAATACTCAACTAGATTATCAGTCTCCTTAAAAGTCCTCAAGGTGCTGCGGGCTGAATCACAGCCTCCAAAATTCACATGCTGAAGTCCTGATCTCCACTCGGGCTGTGCTGGAGCTGGTTCTCTAGGAGGACCTTCAGATTAAATAAGGCCATAGGAGCGGGGCCCTGTGTCCTTACAAGAAGGAACACCAGAAGACTCATCCTCTCTCCTCCCTTCCCCCTCTGCCTCTCCGTCTCTGCATGCTATGAACAGAGCTGGCAGCAACTCAACCACGTTGCTAATGTGACCCTCGCCTCCCCAGCCTCCACCACTGTGGGAAAATAAATAAGTCTGTTTAAGCTTCCAGGCCATGGTATTTTTGTGGAAGGGACTAAGATCGCTCTTTGTACCAAGGGGTGGGCGTGCCCTCTTAACTACCCCAGTCTTAGAAGCAGCCTTGGAACTCAGTAAGGGGCAGGGACTGGAAAAAATGTGTGCTCTGAGGTGAGTGCTCAAATATGAGGATGAAGGGGAACTCTGGCAAAGTCTCAGACAGAAAGAAAAAGCATCTTGTTAGCAACTCCAGGAATTTCAAGCTCTGCAAACAATAGTAATAAAATAAGATGCTGGGGATTTAGCTCAGCAGTTCGGTGGCCTGCCTTGCAAGCACAAGGACCCGAGTTCAATCCCCGGTACCAAAAAAATAAAAATAAATAAAAAATAAAAATAGGTGTTTTTTTTTTTTTTTCTAAACTAGAGGCAAGGTGATCATCTTAATTCATTTCCATAGCAAGCACGAAATACTGGAAACCAGGTAATTTACACAGGAAATGCCCTGCTGTGGCTCACCACTCTGGAGGCTCGGAACCGGCATGGAGCAGGCCCTGGTCAGCCCTAACGGACACTGCCTGCTGCATCTTAACACAGCCCGGGGGCATCGCATGGCAACAGAGCAAGAGGGCGGCTAGGGTCTCCCTTCCGCTTCCTAAAAAGCAACTTGACGATCTTTCCGCCCCTAAAGACGGAGTGCTGTGTTAGGTAAGAAGAGCCAAAAACCAGGACCAGACCAGGACCAAAACAAGACTTCATTATGGGGAGGATCTGCCGGGCTGTCTCCTGACAGAGAAGAGAAAGCAGCATGGCCGCTCGGGGAGCTTCTGTTAAAGGAGCGGGCGGGGTGAGCCTGAGCTGGGGTGGAGCTGAGTGAGGCAGTAATAAGGGATTGGAGGAGCCTGAGTTACGCTGTACTTATAGGGGTAACTTGCTCTTTCTGTACTTTATTGATTAAAAAAAAAAAACAAAAAAAAACCTCAAAGTACCAAATACTCTATTGTCAGCCATCAAATCTTAAAGTATAACACTCGAGCAACTGAAAAAGGGAACTCTTCAAAATTTTAACAACCGAAGCCAAGTTTGTTATGAAAGGTTTTTAGTAAAGGAGATAGAAAAATATATATATTTTAAAAGGCAGCAAACAAAGGGAAATCTAACGCTGTATACATACATCGTATTCTTACCATGTAATTTTAGAGCATTCCTGTTCATTGTAACAGTTCAAGTCAGCTAGTCTTACTGGGTACACACTGTCTGGAAAGCATTGAGGCTCCGGGAGCACACAGGTAAATGGAGGTGGCCTCTCTAGTTGGTCTAGAAAGGTGTTTTCTCTAGCGGCATACAGTAGTGTGAGCAGAAAATGTCACTACGGCTAAGGAGCGAGGCCGAGCCATGAAAGGGGCCCCGGGGTGGGAGGCGAAAACCCTGATGTGGGCATCGCCGTTGCCTGCCAAGACCGCCTTTTCCATCCTGGCTGCTATGGTGTGGATGTGGTCTGTCCCCAAAAGTTCATGCATTGAGACAGTGGTCCTCTGTGTCAGTCTTCAGAGGTGGGAATTAACGAGGTCTTGGAGAGACCTGTTCAGTTCTAGAGAGAGTTGTTATAAAGCAGCAAGCCCTGCCTCTTTGCCACTGCTCTGGCTTCCTCCCACCTGTAAGGTCTTGTCATGGTTTACATCTAAATGTGCCCCAAGAGCTTCAAGCACTCAGTGGGTTGCGCAGGCTGTGGCAGGATGGCATTGGCAGGTGGGTCTGGTTAGCAGTGGGTCCCCCTTCTCTCTCCGTTTCTTGGCCACCATGATGTGAGCATCTGTCCTCCGCCAGGCCCTTCTGCCAAGCTAATCCTATGTTTAAGCCGCATAACATGGAGTGCAACTTCAGAAACTGTGAGCTGAAATAAACCTCTCCTCCTTTGAGCTGGAGGTGTTGGGTATTTTGTCCCAGTGGTGAGAAAGTGACTATGATAGCACTCCTGCCACAGTGGCAACCAGGAGCCCTTGCCAGAGCCCGGAGTATGCTGTTGGGACTGTCGACTCTTCACAGTGAGCGAAAGAAACTTCTTTCTTTACAATTAGCCAGCTTCAGGGACCTCCTTGGACCTGCCTGCTAGAGCTGCCTCAGAGCATCATTCCCCACTTGCAGCCAGCAAAGCATCCACAACTGCTGCCTTGGCTCACTTAGACCTGGGCACAGCTCACACTGTAAGCAGATCATTGTGGGTGAGCAGAAGACAAGAATTCGGGTTTATGGCAGCCTCCACCAAGATTTCAAGGACAAGCTGGGGGCAGAAAGCTGCTACAGGGTCAGAACTCTGCAGAGAGAGCTCATCACAGGTATTGATCAGTAGAACTCCGCAGGTTGACCCTCAGCAGTGACCCCAGAAAGGCACCGCTCACAATAATGTGCAACATCCACCAGGGGAAGCTGAGGACCAGCAGTGTCTTGGGGGTGAAGCTTCTCCCATCTGTGAAGGTTCCAGTTGCATCCTGCTCCCTGACTTGCTCTGCTGGATTTCACTCTTGCCTTGGATCAATCACTCCTTTAAACCTAGCCCATTGCTCCCTTTTGGAAGAGGAAAGTTTGTTTTATCCCTTTCCCGCCTTTATACCTCAGAAGTATTAGGGTGCGTTTTGCTTATTACAAGGAAAGATTTTGCCTTGCACATCAGTGGACCCTTTGGGCTTTGAGTGCAGGCTGAAGCAAGACTGCAGAGCTGTTGGAGCGGAGCGATTGTGTCTCGTATTATGAGAAGGATGTGACTCAGCGCTGGGACAGAGAGCTAGGATTTGGACATGGTTCGAGTATTGTCCTCCGGGGTTTATGTTTTGAAATTTAATCTCACTAAGTATTAAGAGGATAGAAACTTAATAGGAACACAGTATTGTCCACCTTTGGGAGGTGAAAGGATGAACCAAGGGTCATCAGGGAGGAGGCCTCATGACTGGACCTGGGTGACTTTATAAGAGGGGAGACAGATCAGCAGACACATGTGCACACACGCACACACACACACATGCATGTATGTTCCTATCACTTGCCTTGTGATACCCTGTACTCCCTGAGATTCTGCCAGTGGAAAGGGCATTGCCTGAAACCTACAGAACTGTGAGCCTAATAAACTTCTTTTCTTTATAAAGTAGGCCTGCCTCGGGTATCATGTTATAGTAATGGAAAGGGACTAATACAGGGACTGGGTAAACATCCTGGGGGATGTCGACTACAGCTTCCATTAGCTCCCGCCAACTCCCTTTTCTCCCGATTTACACTGCACCATTCTGCAGCTACTGTGAGTTTGTCTGCTAATGGTTCACAGAGGCTTCCTCTCCCGGAATTCTACTGATGCTGTCACCTGAGCAGGGACAGCCTGATGAAAATGGTTCACTAGCACAGACTACAAAAGTCTGATGCGAGTTATGGTACAGTTCATACCCTAGAGCTCTCCCTGAGCTTGGGCTGCGGAGGGTTCTGGCTGGTGGTGTATTCTTACTTTGCTCTTTGCCTCGCTCTCTCCTCTTTCCTCACACCCTTCCTCCTGAGAGCACTCACTTCATAAATCACACGCACCAAAATCCTCATGCCAGGCTCTGCTTCCGGAGAACAGGACCCAAGTTAGCAATGTAACTAGCTCTGGTTGCTTAGAAAATGCTTCTGGAGGTGACCGTGCTTATAATAGGAAATTTGTACTAACAAGTAAAATAAAAGTCACAAATAGACATTGACGTATTAGTTTTGGTATTTTTGTGCTTTGAGTTCCTCTATAAATCTCCAATAGGGTAATTGTCCTTTCTTTTTATGAACTGTAAAGTAATCTGTGTATCTGTTTACCTAGCCATGACTTCCTGAACACAGCCAAAGTCAGGGCTAGTCAGCTTTCTGTCACTGTGATAAACTCCAGCTTTCTAAGGAGCAGACTTTTATTGTGGCTCACAGTTTGGGGGGTCTCCAATCATGGACAGGTAGCCTGGGCAGGCACATTGTTCTTAGGCTTCTGGTGCCAAAATATGACACCAAGGCTGGAATGCATGGGGAACAAAACCCCTCACCTCATGGTCATGACATAGGGGAGGCTGAGATCCCACAGTCACCTTCTAGCATGCTCCCCAGTGACCTGAAGACCTCCCAACAGGTCCTGCCTCTTAATGGTTCTGCCATCTTCCCATAGCACCAAGCTAGGAACCCAGCCTTGAACACATGGGCCTTTGGAGGATATTCCAGGTAAAAGCCACAGCAGAGCCACACAGCACACCACCTGCCAGCGACTTAGGAGGGACCCAGACCGCCCCCTGCCCTCCTAGAGCTTAGCTCATATCTGAGCCTCCCTCACTTACCCAATCAGGAGAGAGCAGGCCATGCTTCTGAGCTCAGGGGGAGGAAATGGCGGTTTTCAGAGCAAAGGAGGGTATGTGTGATTCTCCCTGGCAAGCGCAACAAGCAGTTGTATCACCTCCAGTGAATTTAAAGCAGTGGCAAAAAAGAACCAAAAGTCACTATGCTTTTAATTCCACCACACACTGGGAATTCTCGGCCATGGTAGTACCAACGCTGTCTTCCCACCTGCCCTGAATGCTGCTGAGAACCTCACTGTCACCCTCTGTGGGAGTCTCGGGGCAGCAGAGCTTAGCCCTCAGCCAAGACTGGAGGGCACAACAGCTTCCCTCATCACTTCAGGAGTGGTCGGAAAATCAGTTTTAGAGCAATCTCTTCCAAGATACCCACCAGAGTCTCAGCCTCGCCCCACCATGTTCTCTAGAGAGCATGGGTAGTTGGTTGTCAGAATCTGTGTGCTGGGATCGGGCACACAGAAGAACTTGTTTCATTGTAAATGTGCTTATTTCATCTGAAGTGACGGTGATTTGAGAAGAGAAGAAGAAACAAACGGAAAGGGAGGGCAAAATCTAGCCCTTTCTGTGAGTCAGAGGGGTTGGATCTGTGTGGCTCTGAGAGAGGAGTTGATCTCTTAACCCGTGCTGGCAAAAGATGTGAAGTCAAATGTCAATTCCTGGGGATCTGGAGGCAGTCACTGGCTTAGATTTTGTCAATAAAAGAGATAATTAAGGCTCTGAACAACTCAAGACTTCTTCCTACTCAGACGCTTACAAAACAGGACCACGGGTTTTAAAACATGCCCAAGTTAGCCAAGCACTTAGCATACTCCACCCCGGCACCGGTCATCAGCATGCGTGCGAGGGACCAAGAGATTCTCTCCCCAAGCTCGGGTTTTATGACACTGTGATTTGATACAGTGCTGTACCTGATTGAGGGACATTTAAGGAATATGAATTCCATCCTATGTGTTAAATGAGACTTTCACACATGAAGTTTTCTTCAAGAAGCTAGGAACAAAAACAAGAAAAATGAGTTGATTTAGCAGAACTTTGTACAGACCTGCACTCTCCAGTAGTGCAGTTACACATGCAGGTCACTATTTAAATTAATGAACAAGCAAATTTAAAATTTAGCTATTTTTTCCTTTGGAAAAATTAAGGCTCCCATAGCAACTGAAAAAATATTATAGAGAGTTCCCATATGCTCTTTGCCAAGTTTTCCCCCATAACAGCATCGTATGTAACCATTTTAC